CGTTCGATACCCGTACCACTGTTCACATTCTCACTAATCACTCGAAACTGTTCTCGACACACAACACTTACAGTATCGGATCGTGACACGCTCATCATTCACGATCATGGCGCTTGTAACAGTGCTGAAATATCGGAAACTCGCTAAAAACAAGGTACATGGTAACAATTCCGTAAATAACTTATATTACTATAATGTTAGTGGACATGAAAGTTTAAAACAATATATTGAAACAAATTGTCTTGTTACGGTTAAGTCGATTTTTCACCACAATAATTATGCTTACAATATCTTTATGTTAGTTATTCGCAAGTGTAATCGATTCTTATTCTTATCGATTATCATACGATTTCTGTCTATAGTATTTTGTGTATGAAACAATATGTGAAAATTGTTTCAACTCCGCTCGGTCTTCTATACTACAATACCGTAATCACATAATGCCTGAGATTATGTTATGGAATTCTACTCGTTAGTACAAAAACCGTATCTCAATTACTGTTTGTCACATAGGTTTGCCATTAAAATACAATAGGCTTGTTGGTTTGAAATTATGGCTAACTTTTGCTATTTTACTTCTCATTCTCATTAACGATAACTTCATCCGGTAATTAATAGGGCTTGTATAATGTACGTAAAGATAATTTTAATAAAATAATATGTAATACTTCTCCAGCACCTGCGCGACGAAGATTTGGTATTAAATTACGCTAAAATTGGCGTTCAAACTTGGAATTAGTTTCATTGTAAATACGCTTCTTCAGCTGTCAAGCTCTCAAAATCGCCAGTCAAGCTATATTCTCACAAAGCTATATTCTAAATACACAGCTTGATAATTCATTACGATAGAAGTTTACGTTACGTCAAATTTCGAACGCTAATTTTAGTGCATTTCGTGCTTAGTTGGTCGCTCAGGTGTGGAAGAAGCATTATAGTTATAGCTTAGCTTCGATCAACAATTAGACAGAGATATAAACATTCAGTGCAAATTTCTTTAAAAATGAAATAACGATGCTACTTAGTTGTGTAAAACCGAAATGAATTATTTCCAGTAAGTCGTGAGCCCTACTATTAGACTTTTTAAAAGGTAGCCATCCATCCATCGGCAAGCCCTTCGTAGTAAATTCGTGAAGCACTACGTTAACTTCCTGTTTAAAAATATCTGAAAATAAGACGACATGAGCATTTAAAAATATGTATCTGAAAATACGACATCTTTTTATATGTATGCGTACCTTATAACAAATTACCTAATATTAGTGTTTTGCAGCTAGATATTCATAAAAGTTTTTTTTTATAATTACATTTTTTTTAATTCTATTTTTACATCTTGTCATGTTGTAGAATTACCTTAAAACTATGGTTTTTTATTGTCTACCATTGTTTAAGGAATACTGATTAATTTGTGATCATGGAACCATGACTATGACAGCATAAAGTACGTACTTATAATAAGAAGCCACACAAAACCTTGTAGATACCTAGGTCATATAAAATTATATTGGAAACACAGGAAATAATTGTAGAGCGGGTGTGTATATGTTATTATTACCTTTAGATAAGAAATCTTAACTAGGAAATCTATATTTCAATGAAAATAAACAGAAAGTGTAATCAAGTTGACTTATTAAAAGCTTTCTTGAATCAGGAGAACATTTAGCTGATAAGAAGAACAAGCGAAAGAAACTTTGTGTTGTTAATTTTTTTCTACTTTGAGAATCCCATAGGAACCTCACAATTTATTGGGATAGAAAGTATCCTATGGTCTTCCCTGGTTCCTTCCATATCTCAGTAGCATAGTAGTCGCGGTCAGTGCATTTGCGAAAAGCTCTGGTTCAAATACAAACTGATACTTAAGCCAAAAAACTTTATTTCCTAGTAAAATTTTCTTTTCATATAAAATATAAAAAAGTACTTAAGTGATATGGGTTTTTTACAAGATTGTTGAAGTTTATCTTCCAGTTTAATCAAACATTACATTTTGGTTCGTAAAGTTCATAAGTAAATAATGACGGGTTTTATATTGTTTGTTCCGGTTGTAAGGTTATTTTTGTCGGCAGGTTTTTGTTAATATGATTAAGTGTCGCCGCACACGGGCCACCGACCACAACCACAAAACGCCGCCACCGGCATATTTTTTGTAATTTTCATACATTTTATATGGACTCGCCACACACGGTTCGCCGGTGGCCGCCACACGCTACAAATCGTCGTTGCTCGTTTTTTGTGGCCCGCACCGGCCACTTAATGGACCGATACAAAAATGCCGCCACACGTCACTCGCGCGACTCCCCACCCCTCTCTCCCTTACCTTAGTCGGCCGCTGTCGCGCGCTTCAACCATTTTAGTAGCCGCTTCTACCTACTCGTGGCGGCGTTTGTGGCTGTGGCGTGTGGCCCGTGTGCGGCGACACTAAGGCCTTCAAATGCCGACGAGCTTTTTATATGCTAAACATGATTAATGGTTGGTAAAAAAGTGACTCTTAATAAGAAATATCATCGTGCTAAAAGTCGCTATAAAGATATTACTAGTACGTATCTTCTTTTTGTTTGACAAAAAAAAGAGGAACAACATTTTTTAAAATGTTTATTTGATATCGTTTTATCATTTCAAGGCATTCTTTAGGTATGGATCACAATGCGAAATCATCATCCTAATCAGCCAATGGACGTCCTCTGCTAGATACATCCTCTAGGGTTTTCCAAACACAACAGATGTGCACTTTCCGCATCTAGTGGGTCAACATCCAGTGGACCAATGTTCAGCGACCGATGGACATTAGGATATCAAGGTGCTTCAATTGCGATCTCGCACAGGGAAGTGCAGTGTCGGTAGACTCCTCACCAGCTAAACTAACGACATCAATCTAGTCAGGGGGAATGACTGGATGCAATGGGAAATAAGACCTGAAAATACGTGATAAAAGAAGCCAAACTTTGAACCAGAATAGTCATAAAAAGGAAAAGAGAATGATTAGACAAAACAAAAATACTTTCGTTGTCTACAAGATGTTAACTATCTACCCCATCCTTTAAAAGAGATCGATCGCTCGTAAAAACATGTGCCTACGTCCGAAACACAGCAGCCTCATAAATATTTATAAACGCTATGTTGTGTCGGCGCCAACGGTAAACCCTTGATATTTCACACTTATACTGACACTATATTCCTTCCTGAAGCAACGCTGGGCATGATACAATTTATGTTTTGGCAATGTTAGATGTTTAAACTTCTCGCAATAGAAGAAAATACCTCAGACAAAACTTAAATGTAAACAAAAATTTAAAAGAAAAGCAAAACGTTTTTTTATTATTTGTATGTCTAATTTATGTGTCTATATGCCCTTATACTTGCAAGGGTTATGTACGGTTTGTGAGGGTTATTAAGAGGTTAGTTAGGTTATGGAGAAAGATTCTTCGCAATTTATATGAATATTCAACACATTTTTAATAAAGTTTATTTACATGTGACAAAAGTATTCCTATGCAATTTTGTTTGATAACTTTTTTCCATCTTGTATGTAGGGACATGATGCCAATGCTATAGAAATTATGAGGCTTCTGATCAATAAACTGCGACAAGTGGTTTTGGCAGTCCTCTGGTGATATTAACCTGACACTGCTTAAAGAATTCTGAAGGGACCGAAACAGGTGGTGAAGGTTCAAGATCAGGATCATACGACGGACGCATTAACACCTCCCAGTCAAACTCTCTTAATTTTTGCTGAGTGGCTAAAGATGTGTGAGGTCTAGCGTTATCATGTTATCAGGCTGAAAAAGGCTCTCAACTTTGCGCTTTAATCTTATCAGTTGTTCGCAGTACAGTTCAGAATCGATGGTCTTGCCTGGTGGTAACAGCTCATAATAAATAATGCCCTTCCCATCTCACCACCACACAGCATACCCTTGTTGTGAGTTAGCCCGGGTTTCGCCAGAGTCTGTGAAGCATGTGACCACTTAAATCACCAGTTATCAGCTTCTTTAAAAAGGTTCGGGTGCATTACGTCGTAATAAAGAATCACAAATGAGTACACGAATTATTAGGTTTCTTTTGGTGAGCTCGTGAGGCACCCAAATATCGAGCCTTGTTTGTTTTATACCCAGTTTTTTACAAATGCGCCAAAACTGTTTTCGAAATCCCAGATCTTTAACTACATCATAACTCCTTATATGCCGATCTTACTTCACTTTTAAAAAAAATATCCATAACAGGGCGACCAGAGCAACGTGCATCTTTGACATCAAAATTTCTGGAATGAAAACGCTTAAACCAAAGTGCTACTCTCACAGAATCGCACTAGGTAACAAACATCACATTTTTTCACTGGCTGGCGTTGCATATTTAGCTTTTCTCTAGTATAATTTTAAAATGTATCGAATTTCTTCATTAGATTCACTCATCTTAACAGTAAGAAAACAAATGAAAATTACACATTTTTATAATTATGTTTATGATTAAAATAATAAATACAGAAGTTTATTAAACGTTTTCTCATAAAAATCATGAGCATCGGTTGGTTTGAATCACATATATACCTAAAAGTAAGAATTTTTATAAATATTTAGAGCTGAAAATTCAGTATCTTCCGAAGAGTATATTTCAAAATAGACAGTTTTTTCAGGCTCGTCGTCATAAAATGTTCTTCTTCACTTAAAAAGAGCTATCGAACGATGGCTTATTCACCTTGATTGAACCTAGGTCCAAAATGCCCACCGTCCTTTTAAAACTTTCTATATTATTACTTCGCGATATCAGAAAAGAAAATTCTGATAGTCATAGCCTTGAACAATAATTAAATTATGTCCATTTACAACGAGTCAGCATTTACAGTGAGAAAAGCCGTTAAGGGTTATGTTGGAATTAACCACAATTACGTTTGTAATTCTGTCTTTTTTGTGGCGAGAGCAATTATCGAGATTTTTGTGCTTTGTATACTGTATTTAAGTACCCATGTATGTTCGTAACTGTACGTTGGAAACTATTATTATTTACGCAACATCATTACCGCAGTGAAAATTTTAAAATTAATGGTGTAATAATATACTCATTTACTAAACTTAGCGCACAACTGACTTCAAACGGCAGTCACTAATAAGACTTCTTTGTGAGTGTTCGTTTGAAAAATATCAGTGGATTATATTATACTGAAGATATTATGGTAATTTTCATTACTTTATTTACTAATATTTTCACTTACTTAACTAAATATTTTGTAATAATATGAATATTTTAATGCAGTATTTTGTATGGTATAAAATATTTTTAATATAATTTTAATATAAACACTGGGTGCAACAAGGACCTAGCAAGCTTTTGACTTACGAAAAAAATAAGTTGGAATGCTTTATATCCTTTCAATTATGTATAATATAACACTTAAAAATATTTATTAGGATATTATATTACAGATATTGATATTTTTGATTCTAAACAAAATCCCAAAAGTCCCCATTGATTCAAGTGCCGCTAAAAAATTTACTTGAGGTCAAAGGCCAGAAAAATAGTTTTTCGAGAGATAATATACGAGATTACGATCTCGTTAACAGTTACTGTTATTGAAAAAATAGTGGTTATGAAATATGTAACTTAAGAAATTTCCAACAAGAAATATTATATTATATTTTTTTTTTTGTGGTAGTGGCAGTAGACATAATCTATGTCTATTTGTGATTAACATTCTTAGTTTATGGACATAAATATTTAAAAAAAATCAGTAACTGAAGTAAATTCTATGAGCAATTTTTTTTATACATATAGAAATTATATGGGATATTTTTAAATGCACAGCTAATAATGTATCACCCATCAAGTTATTTACATCAATTAATTATTTTGCACTGCAAACAAAATATTTGTTGAACAAAACTAGTGCTAAAAATAATTCAAAAATATACATCTAATCTGTAGTATATTTTTTCCTCTAATGCTCTGCAAAAAAAATGTTTAATTGTACATAAATATGATTTTCATATCAAGCATACTGATTGCATAGCGAATATACCGATTGCACAGAAAATTAACCAGGGGGTCGACGCACAATAAAAATGCTCTTGCATATTGGAGAGTTATCTTGCCCACACAAAGAAGTGCCTGGATGAATAGTAAATGTACCTGCCCGCATTTTTTCAAAAACCATAAATGCAAGCATATCAAGGGACTTGCGATCCGGCTCAAGTATGTGACAGCACCTGCAGAGACCAAAAATATACTAATCGGACAAAAAAGGAAGCGTGGACGTCCCGCTAGAGCAAGACCTGCTTTAATTACCAAAAATAGACGTTACTTTTTGCATCAGATTTTATATAGTTGATTGTTGATCTCATTGTGTCGTATTAAATAAATAATTAGATTTTAATGTCGATTATCCTCCATAAAATTCGTGTTCGGGACTCTCCTATTTGCGAATGTGGCTTAGACGAAGGCACTCTGGAACACAGTTTCTTCAGCTGTTCCAAAAACACTCCTTCTCATGACTTATACCACAGTCTCGCAGAGCTAAAAATCGCGCTCCCGATCAAAATGACTTCCCTCCTCACCTATTTTCCTTTGTTTTTTATTTGTCAGGGTTATTATTAAGAACATTGATGACTTTTATCCATTGTAATTCCATTAAACTGTGACATTAATCATATATATGTATACTGTAATGTAATGCAATTTAATGTTATAACGCTTAATATATATAAGAGGTTAACCTACAGAATAGTTTTGTGTCTTTGTTTCAGCATACTTACCAATAGATGCAACTAGAATAAACACATCCAATTGCAATGTCATCGTTGGATAAACTATAGATTTATATTACAGGTTTTTGAACAAATTGACCAAATACACGCTTGGTCATCACTTCTGATATTGGCAGAATTGTCGACACTGGAATCGACACAATTGCCATTAAAAAGAATAGAATATATCTAGTTTTCGTTCAATCGAGTTTCAACAAATTTGCTGCAAGTGTGCCTCGGTTCTTAAACTAATGTAAGTATATCTAAGTAATTTTGAGTCACTACCTATAAAAAGTATGTGTTTTTGGTTTGATCTTTTTAACTTTAAGTCTCCTCGAGTTGATTCATCAAGCTAATAATATCCTCAAGGGCGTCAAGCTTGAGTTATAATGTTAATAATGATTTAAATCATAAATTGCAATATAGCAAAAACTGAAGTATTTTTTTTATTCCAACACACACCAATTAGCCTAGCCCCAAAGTAAGTAGTGTTAGACTTGTGTTATGATATACTAGAGTAACGGATAGACTACATACACTGATATAAACTAAACTAATAGAAAAATAAATAAATAATAAAGACATATTTTCAACATTCACCAATTAGCCTAGCCCCAAAATAAGCACTGTAAGGCTTGTGTTATGGGATGCTGGGGTAACGAATAGTATATATATACTGTACATATTTAAGTGTATTTATATAGATATAAAAATTAAACATCCATGACTATAGACGAACGAAAGTATTACTATAGACGAACTTCTTACCAATCCATGGATTCACCGTGCGGGTGCCGGGTCGAGAGAGAGAAACTCTGAGCAGTTCTCACTTGCGACCCAGGTGTAGGTTTAAGGAGGCCCCCTTTGAGATGCGCATCAACGCTCACCTTCACTGCTCGAGTTGCCTGCACATCCTAGCCAAATTTGATAGGAGCCTGTTAGTGCAGCCTTTGTTACTCGTTCCATAATACTGCAGTTCTCGATAGGCCGAGTTCTTTTAGGTTATAGAGAGTTTTTGCTGGTATACCTCTCGCTCCTACTTCTACCGCATATAAATTAACTAGATAGCCATTTTTAATTAGTTCGTTTGTTAGATCGTAATATTAATTCAATTTAATTGTGTGGTCTTTTGGAATGTTAGTTTCCCACGGTACAGTAAGTTCTATTAGTATCATATGTTTGATGTGCCTTGAAATTTGGAATATGTCCAGCCTGGATGACGAAATACTAATATCCTCTGGTACTTTATAGTGCTTTTCAGAAGTATCTCGTTGATCGAAGATACGTATCCATTAAAATAGTACAGTCAGTGCAGTACCTAGGATTGAGAAAGGATTTCTCTTCAACTCTTATTGCAATGTTCGTTTCGTCGTTTTAACGTAGGAACTCTGGACAGAAAGGCATTAATTAAAAAAGTTGGAAGTCTATTGCAAGCTCAAAGCCATTTAAAAAGCGACTTTGTAAAGTTAAGTGTATGAGATTAAATTAGCCACTAATCCATTCAATTAACCATTGCTAGTACGACTAAAAACTGATACATATTTACATATATTTAGTGTAAGACTTGTATCAGAACAAAATAAAAAGTATTTCTAGATTATTTTCTCAAAAAACAAAATTTAACTGGTGAGTAAGAAGGTATCTAGGTATTAAGTCACTTTTCATTTGTTCTTATAAGTAATTACTTTTTATTCAATATTTAATTCAATTAGTATTCTTAAAAACTCGTTCTTTTTTAAATAGCAAAGTAAGGATTTATTATTATTACCATTGAAAGTTTACTTTAGATTTTTTATTACGTAAAAATGTATTTCATAGTCCCATCTATATACCTACCTAAGTACTATAGAGTTCTACCCAGAAGGGATAGAACCTGGGAGCGTAGATGTTAATTGAAAGATACTGATAGAGATAAGTTATTTATTTTGTTTTATCATTCAGGCTAATATAAAAGTATTTTATCTAAATACGAGAGGAATTCTTGGCGCCTGAAGATCTAATAATCAATGGAACCTTCTATCAAAAGACAGACGATTCCTTATTTCAAATCTTAAAATCATGACATTATCTTTTTAATATAACTGCCAACCGTAGGCATTGCAAAAGCAAAGAGTTTACCTAAACAAGGAGGCTGCAACGTTAAGGACGTTACATCCCTCCGGCACCTCTAAAAAAAAATTGTTTTGTCATACCAGATGACCGAACAAAATTTTTTTTTCCTACCTACTACATCGAGAGGGTTCGACGGTCCTATCTAAAATCCCTACCTGCTTAAGGACATAAATACAACTGGGAGGTGGCCTTTACTACAGACTAGCCCTCACAATAAGTTTGCAAAACTTGCAAAAAAAAAAAAAAAAAAAACTTCACGGGATAAGAACCCTAACTGTTTGCAAAGTTTTATTGCAAAGACTTTACGGGAGCAAAACCTTAACAAAATCCCTCGTACATCTACTTCCTAACCTTAACTTTACTTTACTTTACATCGACATCAGTCGGCAAAAACAAAAAACAAAGCTAACCCTAGCTATAACTTAAATTACCCAAGCATTTTTTTTTTATCCCATCTATCAGCAAAACTTTACCCTATCCCATTTATTAAACCATTAAATATCAAGAAAATTTATATTTTGAAACTTTTTACTTTACATCGACATCAGTCGGCAAAAACAAAAACAAAGCTAACCCTAGCTATAACTTAAATTACCCAAGCATTTTTTTTTTATCCCATCTATCAGCAAAACTTTACCCTATCCCATTTATTAAACCATTAAATATCAAGAAAATTTATATTTTGAAACTTCATTACTTCCCATACTAAGTAGATGTACGAAACGAAATTCAAACTGTTTCCTAAGATTCGTAAACATTAACTGGATTTGAGCAAAACCTAAAAGAATTTATAATTAATGTTTACTTTCGTACATCTTTAATAAAGATACAGACGTGATCCACCACTTTATTGTCTTGTACTTTATTAGACACCCATGATGCGCAAACGTAATAGAAATTTTGGGTAAGGACATCTAGCATCAAACAAGATTAAACCCAATTCCCATGGAATACTAAGGGTTCCCTACCCCCAAGTCAAACTACTACAAGTGACGATTTTGACGAACGCGACGCAACCAAATTGAAACGAAAACGACGCGAATTCGTAGAGGGTGTCTCCATCATCTTCAGGGTGGATCATCGTCAGTATCGCTGACGTCTGCATGAGCGCCAGCCTGCTCTCTCTCGGGAAGTCCGCATCATGTGGTAGTACATAAAACAATCAAGAAAATATTAGTAAAATTCTTTACACCATTTTTCTTCAGTCGGGTAAGTTAATATTCATGAAAACATTAAGTTTATGATAAGTCTTTATACCATCTTTCATAGTTGGATAAATTTTCAAAATTTAACATTATTATTCATTTATTTATTTTTTAACCTTACAGGGAATCGAACCCGTTTCCGTTTTTATAATAAGGGAATTTTCTTTATGGACCTATATTATCCTATTATACATTATTAACTATATATATTCTATCCTAATGCTGAATTGATCCTATCAATGATCATACTCAAAGTCAATTGAATAATTCCAAGTTGAACAGAGAATCGAACCTGTTACCTATCATTCTTATGGTTATTACGATATCAATAATCCACCTACTCAACAAATTACACTAAAGCTAACAATTAAAAGAAATGAAAATACTTTAATGAAACTATTAATCTGTCATAAACAAAATGTGTAAAATTTCCTTATAATATGTATATTGAAAAAAAATTCTAATAAAATGACAAAGTTATATTTAATATGCTTTTGAAATAAAATTCTAAAATGACTATTGTATTGAACCTTATTTACATACCACTATTGCTTTAAAACATTCATATAAACAATAAACTGAAATAAAATCTCATTAGTAACACAATATTATAATACTATCAACCTATTCGGCATAATATAAATTTTCATCATACACCGAATTATCACTATCACTTTCGTTATTCATTTATATATATTGTCTTTTAAACTTGCACTTAATGTGTTTGATTATTAATTGTTCATTATAAAAGTCTACTATCGCATTATTTCGAAGTAAGAAATCCTGTCCTAAGATGAGGTTATGCCTAATATTCTCTACCACAAGAAAATCGTGAATGAATAACACATTGTCTATCAATAATTTAAGGTTAACTTTCCCTATAACAGACAATTCTTTACCATCGACAGCTTTCAACTTCATATCGCTTTCATCAATTCGTTGATGAATTCTATTAACTGTGTCCTTCGACACCACAGACACTACAGCACCACTATCAATGAGCCCTACTAACTCCTTATCACGACACGTTATATTAATTAATGGTTTGGACTCACTTGTACGCTGATTGTTGCTTTGTAACGGCTGTGAATGGTGAACTTCTTCATCAGCCATCGTCATTAAATTTTCTTCGTAAAAAAATTTCTTTTGATGCTTCTTTGGTTTTTTCTTTTTTTTGTTCAAGTTACTGGAACAAAAAGTGCGGGGAATCATATGTTCGGGAGGGACAATGGGATGAGAAAGGACACTTTGGGAGGAAATGAAGTTGATTTCCTTCTCTTGTATATCTTCTTCATGCCTTATTATAGGCGAAATTTTCGCCGCTTCGAAGTTTGTCATTGGTGTAACAAACGATGGTTGGATCGGCAGATTCCAACAAATTTCGGCACTTTCGTCTCCGAAAATATCCTGTGTTTGACGTAAAATATTTTTTAAATGTGTTTTATCACTATATAACTGAAATGCGAAAAGATTTTTCGTATTCAAATTCGCATTTTTCAAGAACTGTCTAATGAAGCATTTGTCATCGATGACAGCTCCCGCTTTTGTGGCCAGCTCATCCAATACATAAAAATAGTGCAATGGCTCTTCTGACAAGCCTTGTCTTTGTGAGAAAAATTTTTCCAACGCATTTATCGATGATGGAAATTCCTCACGTATTTTCTGTTCTAAAATCTGAAAATTCTCACAAGACTCATTAATATTTTTATAAAATAACAATGCAGGTCCACTTAAATATGCCGACAACACAATTCTTTTTGTTTCATCGTTGAAATTATTGATGGCGGCGATGATATTAAACTGACGAAAGAAATCGGTTACATCACCTTTTCCGTCGAATGTGGTCCTGGTCTCCATCTTTTTAAAACTACTTCTTTCTTGATTTAAAATTATTTTTCACTCGCGGTACTTGAAACTTACCCGGCGCGTCCACCATATAGAGTTCTACCCAGAAGGGATAGAACCTGGGAGCGTAGATGTTAATTGAAAGATACTGATAGAGATAAGTTATTTATTTTGTTTTATCATTCAGGCTAATATAAAAGTATTTTATCTAAATACGAGAGGAATTCTTGGCGCCTGAAGATCTAAAAATCAATGGAACCTTCTATCAAAAGACAGACGATTCCTTATTTCAAATCTTAAAATCATGACATTATCTTTTTAATATAACTGCCAACCGTAGGCATTGCAAAAGCAAAGAGTTTACCTAAACAAGGAGGCTGCAACGTTAAGGACGTTACAGTACCTATAGTACATTTAATAATAATAATCTCGTTTGTGCACCAACTTTCACGTTCACCCGTAGGCATTGGGTTCGAAGCCCGGTGGGGTAACTATTTGGTTGATGAATACAATCGTTGATGACAGCACCTGAGTCAGCCAGTTTATTTCTATTACAATTTATGTATCATTATTTAATATATGTATTAATAGGATTTGTGTCCGTTACGCTACCGAAAGCACGAGCCTAGCAAACAAATTACTACTTTTATGCTAGAATAATAAGCCAGAGTGTTACAAATACTTACGTAGTGATATAAAAAGTTTCTAAGAAACACTTGTTTATACGGCCATCAGGGGCGCGATAGCATAACGGTCAGTGCATTCGCCCGGGTAGAAAAGGGTGCGGGTTTGAGTCCCGTCTGCTGCCTGGTCCGAGTGGATTTTTGAAGTGAAACTACTTTACGCACGCTTGACTTGGTGAGTAAGCTGGCGAACTTGTTACGCGTTACGAAAAGTGTGGCCGGGAGTTTAGTGGGTGATGTAAGCAAGAGAATGCAGTGTGGGCGCACATTTTCTTTCTCTCTTTCTCTTATAGCTAGTAAGTGAAATGTGTATATGTACGTACATACAGGTATATATTGTACATACATACATGTATACATTATACAGATGGAACTTAGAAGTTTCACTTCATTCGTGTGGTCATAAGCACACTCGTTTTTTAACTAGTAAAATTTTCTTTAAATTTAATCATCTAACAGTTAAATGCTTAAAAAATAAATAATATAAACTTGTTCATGTCTTTATTATTATATTCTTATATTCGTAACACACTTGTTATGGAATATCTGCTGCGATGGCAAGGAATTCCTACATCAAACCCACGTCAAAAGCGCCAAATCCTTGGGTCAAATCTAATTACATTTTATATTAGACGACGCCAAACATTTAGAATTTTAAAGAGCGTATAAATAAACTTTTTTCTTGATAGATAATTGATGTTAGTCGTTATGAATAATAAAACAATTATAATGAAACTAGCTGACCCAGCGAACTTCGTACCGCCCTAAAAAAATAGGGGTTGTCCAGCGGACAAAATTGTGAATCTAAACCATTCTCAGATCCCCTTGAACACACACAAAAAATTTCATCAAAATCGGTCCAGTCGTTTAAGAGAAGTTCAGTGACATACACACTCACAGAAGAATTATATATATAAAGATAATGCATTACAGATTCATCAATACGATGACCTCCGTTTGGTAAAATAACATTAATTCAATAAGAAACTGGTACGTTGTTAGAACGAGATAAAAAGCCTTTGTTGTAACTAGCTCACTCTGTCCCGGACACACTTTGACCTCTTTGCATCCTAACAACGTAAAATGAACATAAGTTTGTAAAACACAAGGTCAATTTGAGAATGTTATTTTTTATAGTTATCAGTACTGTTTAAATAGTACGTCCAAGGGAACAGCATACAAAATGTACTTTGCCACTTGAAAAAAAATATCTGGATTTTTTTTGAAGAATTAAAGACTTAAGAAAAGTTTACTAGAAAAAAATCCACGCGGACCAGGCAGCGGACGGGACTCGAACCCGCAGCCTTCGCAATCCGGGCGAAGGCACTGACCATTATGCTTCCACGGCCCTATTCGCCGCGTCGAAATTTTCCTAGCCTTAAGCTGCAAGGTAGCGCCATCTCTTCGCATTGTAGGTAACCCACAATTTTTTTCTTCTAGTAAACTTTTCTTTAGATTTAAACATCTAGCAGTTAAATGCTTAAAAATTAATAAAACAATACTATAATTGCTATTTCTTCTTTCAAATGTTTAATACTTGAAAAAGTATTTATTTGACATTGTGGGTTACCTACAATGCGAAGAGATGGCGCTGCCTTGCAGCTTAAGGCTAGGAAAATTTCGACGCGGCGAATAGGACCATTATGCAATGGTCAGTGCATTCGCCCGGATTGCGAAGGGTGCGGGTTCCAGTCCCGTCCGCTGCCTGGTCCGCGTGGATTTTTTTCTAGTAAACTTTTCTTTAGATTTAAACATCTAGCAGTTAAATGCTTAAAAATAAATAAAACATAATTAAAGACTTACTTTAAATTAATTATATGTAAACCCCATATTTATTGGTATTAACATGTAATTATATTCAGGTGTACACGCTGACTACCTTTACCTATTTTCTTTCCTACTACGGGCCTACTGTAAGAAATTTCAGATTGAAATAAGTTATACCCTTGTACATGTTATCTTTAATTAAGTTGCTCCTATATTATTTTTGTGTGTACAGACTATAAATAAATAAATTTACATTTCAGGTAATTTAAACACAATCATGTCGAAGATCGTCTTCAAAATTAACGGAAAGGAATACGAGGGTAAGAAAGCTCTCCTTTAACTATATAATAATGAATGCTTTTTACAGCTGTCCGTCCCCATCTAATTGATATCAAAGGTAATTTATTCACCATCTTTGGGAAGAGACTTCATTTGAAACGAAGTGTTTAAATTTTGTATAAACACAAAATTGATCATAATACGAATTTAATTAGAAGAACTTTACTTACAAAGTAATGAAGAAAAGACTATAATTTATAGTGTTTCTGAGGGTCACTTGCATTAATTTTCTTAAGTTTTAAACATAGGGCATTACAGCCCGCGCGGCCAGTAAGTTTTACTTTAAAACATCAACAACAACAACAACATCAGCCTATTAATGTCCCCACTGCTGGGGCACAGGCCTTCCTTATGAATAGAATAGGGAGATTGGGCCATCACCCACCACGCGGGCCCAGTACGAATTGGCGGATGCTAACGACTGCAGATGCAGCCGAGACCAACGGCTTAACGTTCCAAAGCACGGAAGATAGAAGATTTTTGGTCACCCATCCAATGACCGACCAATGCGAAAGTTGCTTAACTTCAACGGTCGCAGCCACTAACCACCTGCCATCGAGCTCCATCACTAAAAACATCACATGTACCTTTAAAGTGAATGGATAAGGAATAATGTTCCAATATAATTTTATTTAAATTCATTTAAGAATTTTGGTCTTAGCGGCCCTTTTTTTAAAGTTTAATTTGTGATGTAACCGTATGCTTATAACTGGATAAAGGTATGGATTTATATAACTTTCGTCTAAGGCTTTCATTCTATCCTACTTCAACAGCGCATTTTTTGTATTTAGCTCCAAGAGATTGTGTAACATTTATAAAAATAATTTAGCTTCTGCTAGCGAATTCGTCAATATTAATTTTAGAACTGGGTTCAAAGAGACATTAAATATTTTTTAATTTACCTAATTTATTTATTTAGATGAATTTAAACATGAGTTTTGGATATAAAAAAATCAATCAAGCAAGAATAATAAAAAATAGCCTAACATATCTAGGCCCACTTGCACCAAAATCTTTAATTCAAATTAAGGCTTAATTGTGTTTAACACATCATTGCATCTTTAAGAATTGTTTAAAGTAAAATTAAAGATAAAATGAGGCTTAAACACGATTAATTTTTAAATTTGAATTAAGAACTTTGGTGAAAGAGGCCCCTCGATCAGTGTTGCCAACAACGCGGAGCGTGATGTCGCTATTTTTTTGAGCAAAAGTAACCAAAAGTAGCCTTATTTCAGGAGAAGTAGCCTAAAGTAGTTTCGCCAAAAAAACTAAAATATTTGTAGTTTTTATCGATTTATTTATAAACTAGAGCCGCCTCGTAACCACCACCCACCTAAAAATCAACAACTATTTTTTCCAGTTTTGAATTGTAATATCGGATAAATTAAACTAGTTTTTACGGGTTAATGCACGAAAACTTTTTTTTTTTTTTTTTTTCATTTATTTTGGCAACAAACAGTCATTTACATAATATTGAAGTACATGCATATATGTTAATATTAATAGACCAAACAGTGCCCAAAGTTTATTACATTTATAGCAGCAAATAGTCTCAACATAGTCAGATTTGCACGTGTATTCATCTAATGCTAACAATTTATTGACATTAAAAGTTAACAACTTATAACACAAATAGAAATTTTCATAAACACTCTTTTTTGGTTTTTCCATCAATATATAATTTAGTTTTTGTTTTAAACTATTGATAGATATATTACAAAGATCCAAATCGGAGAACTCTTTGTTATAAACGTTGGTGGAACGACACATATAAGAATTACGTGTATAGTTTTTGCGTAACGGCGAAGGAACAAAAAATTGCAATTTACGTGAGGAGCGCACCGGGAGACGAACTCGTGCTAAAATGAAAATTTTGCTGAGAAGAATGGACGAATCAATTTGTGAGTTTAAGAGTTTGAAAAGAAAAATAATGTCAAACATTTTACGACGATTAGAAAGACTAAGCAGTTTATATCTAACCAAAGCTTCACTGTATGATTCATCGGCTACATTGTTGCGAAAGTTAAGAGATTTAATAAATTTACCCTGCACTCTTTCTATTCTTTGTACATGTTTTAGATAACATGGGCTCCAAACCATGCTGCAAAAATCTAGAAGAGACCTGACGTAAGAAAAATATAAAATTTTAAGGGTGATAATTTCTTTGAAAGGCTTACATATTCTGAGTATATATCCTAATCTACGAAATGCTAAGTTTAATATGTGGTCTATGTGAGGATTAAAAGTTAGTTCCGAATCCATAATCAAACCAAGGTCTCTAATTTTAGTGACGCGCTTGATATTGTTGCCTTCAAATGTGTATTGAAAGTTGTACTGTTTCTTTTTTCGGGTAAAAGATAATATAGAACACTTATTTATATTTAAAAACAATTGATTGGATGAACAGTAATTACTCAGAGCTTCCAAATCTTCTTGCAACTTCTTACAATCATCCATAGATTTCACTACCTTAAAAAAATTTGCGTCATCTGCATATAGTAAGTGCTGACTATGTTTGATAACGTCACCGATGTCATTAATATACAAAGAAAGAGTAAAGGGCCTAAATGAGAACCTTGCGGTACACCTGAAGGTACAGGAAGGAATTGTGATGTATAACCTTTGATACAAACTGCTTGAAATCTATTTTTAATATAAGATTCGATCCATCTCAGCAGGTTGCCGTGTATACCGGCCCTCATTAGTTTATCAATAAGCAGATTATGGCTAATTTTATCAAACGCTTTAGAAAAGTCGGTGTACACGACATCCACCTGGGAATTTTCATCCATTGCTTGTAATAAGTAATCAACTTTATTTATTTATTGACGTTTCGCAGCCGCTGACGATGCAGACCTGAAAAGGCTGCGAAACGTCAATAAATAAATAAAGTTTTCGTGGATTAACCCGTAAAAACTAGTTTTATTTAATGAGTGATGTGCGTGAAAACCTAAGAAACAAATATGTAATATCGGATGCATGTACTTTTCTGTTGTAACATCGGTGGATTCATCCAGTAGAATAACTTTGTTCGCCAATTTCTTCTAAAAGTTCCTTAAGCATTGCGGGGTCAGAATGTCCATTCTTTATAATGGCTGAACTCTTTGATCTATGTAATTGTGTGTTTTCAAAAGGACTTCCTGTCCCACACGTTTTTAACACTTCTGTTAGATGATCAATGCTGCGGATGGAGCTAGATGTTTAAATGTAAAGAAAAGTTTTACCAGAAAAAAAATGTTTATACTTGAAAAAATATTCAATTGACATTGTGGGCTACCTACAATGCGAAGAGATGGCGCTGCCTTGCAGCTTAAGGCTAGGAAAATTTCGACGCGGCCATCAGGGCCGTGGTAGCATAATTGGTCAGTGAATTCGCCCGGATTGCGAAGGGTGCGGGTTCGAGTCCCGTCCGCTGCCTGGTACGCGTGGATTTTTTTCTGGTAAAACTTTTCTTTAGAAATTTTTATACCTATATTTTTTTTCTGTTGAACTGTCACTAACTGAAGAGTAGCCAAATGAAGCTTAGAATGAAAGCTTAGAATGCTTTTTTGAAAACATCAATTCCTTTTCTTTATGTGTTTTTGTTTTCATATGCTTCTCCAAATCGGTTTTGTGCACACGGAAAGCGTGACACATAATTTACAAAATGTCTCGCCTTTGCCACTATCCGTTCTACAGAAGCTCGAGTAAGCCAATCTGTAAAGGAAATATAGGCCTTACAAATAATAATATGCAAAGTAGTCAAAATAATTGGCCAAGTGCGTATCGGTCCACGCGCTATATAGGGTTCCGTAGTTAGCCTTAGGATCCTGTTAAATGGTCGTATTTTTATTAATTGTTCACTGTTTGATACTACTAATCAATGTAACGTATAACTTTTTCAATATAAATAAATGTTATAGTATATTGCTCGTTAAATTGTAAAATTTCTGTCTAGCAGTTATCATTTTATTTCAACTTCATTAAATGTACTACTCTCCTGATTATTTTCACGTATTTCTAAGCTACCGTTAAAATTTTAGAGGAGGGACGCCCCTATCAAGGTTTTGCACTTTAAAGCTGAATATTTCAAAAATGGATCGACGAATGATATCGTAAGACTTCTCTTTTCCTATACGAAGTCGCGTTACTATATGGTCGTCGCATGTTTACAACTTCTGACCATGACAAGACAACACATCAACGTCGCACTAACGCCTGCCTGGCGGCCGATGTGAACAGCCCTCCCAGTCCCAGACGTACGCGAATGAACAAGCATTTAGTTTTACTTACTTTTAAATACTGGTATCTTGTCCCATTCTATGTAATGGTAATGCTTCACATATTTTCCGTGTTTTCCCATGTGTTTGCTACAGAAACAATAGGCACCTTTGAAATTAATTCTAGGAATAACAAGCACAGGAGAAGTTGTACAAAGCGAACGTGACAATAACAACTGAAAACAGTTTGCCTAAACTAATAAGTCGGTATAATACCGAAAATTGCGATAGTCATAAACAGCAAAGTGGATAATTAATAAGTTATTATCCTGAAGTTGGTTACGATATAGCTATGACATATTCAGAATATTCCCCAACCATAAACAAGTAACCAGTCTGACCAACCATAAATAATTAGGGTGACCAACCTTTATTTTTTAAATAGCACAGATATTAAACATTGAGTGTACGTTGATTTTTTTATGCAACTTAAGCTGATTAGTGATACGATTTTAAGTAGCCCGTTCCTGAAGTGAACTAGCCTAAAGGCGACCAGTCGCCTTTCCGATTTTCTCGTCGTCGGTTTTTGTCCTGAGTAGCCTAAATGGCGACAAATCACCTACGTTGGCAACACTGCCCTAGATTTCTATGTGAATGCAAAAATTCAAAAATCCTTCAAAGAAGTACATTGAAATTCAACGATTTCCAAGAAGGTTTGCGAACTGCATTGATTTTCCTGGATCTTTTTCTTTTGCGTAAGATCTCAATCTTTGCTCTGTGCTCAAGAATGCTTTGCAACGATCACTAATTGGATTATCCCTTCCTTGAATTTTGTTTCGCTCTCCGTTGCGAAATTTTTTACTCGTGTCTCAATCACGTGAACCAATAACTTGTTCACGGAATTGAGACACGAGTAAAATTTTCCGCGCAATACAGTACATGGCATATTATTTTTGTTATGGTACAGACCAGTTCAAGGGGTTCTCTGTTCGTTAGTGAATTTTTAGTAATATTTATTAAAATAAAGTTTAGAACAAATGAGTCAAAGCACCGTGAATGCACGGCTGAAAAACGTGGGTATTCATATTTTAAGCACTAAATTAACAATAAAGGCTGGCATCACATTTGTGACACTTTTGATGTTTCACATGCCTTTTGGCGGCGGTGATCACTTATCATTAGGTGATCTGCTCGTATAATTTTTAAATATTAGGGGTCATATTTAAAAATATCTGATCTACATAAAAACTATGGGTTCACAAAAAAGTCTTAAAACATTTGTCTACGATACGCGTACCGAACCCTTTTTTTAATACACCTACAGACAGACCCATAGAAATTTAATCATTATTGCGAATAAATGTCCATCTAATAACTAAGTATTTGCACCTTGATAGTCAATAAAAACATTCATGTAATTTTAATCAGTCGTCGAATCGAACGAAGATTGTAACAATATTTTCTTAAAAAATATTCTAATTCTAATCCTACTATTATTATAAATATGCGAGTGAAAGTCTGCATGTTTGTTACTCATTAAAACAAAAAATGCTGCACGGATTTGGATGAAATTTATTACGTATATAGGCTATAACCTGAATTGAGACATAGATTACTTTTATCCCGAAAAAAGGTTAGGTTAGGGGCGGCCTGAGCGATTCTCAAAAAACTAAAGCTAACGCGGACGAAGTCGCTAGTAATGGAAGTATAACATTAAGAAAAAAATGTTTTAATTAAACGCTCATTTCTAATTAATATTATCTTCTGATCCCAGTGGATGGTAAATACGGGCCGGATGTGTCCCTCAACGAGTACATCCGCAGCGTGGCGGATCTGCGTGGCACAAAGGCGATGTGCCACGAAGGCGGCTGCGGTGCCTGCATCGTAGCTGTGCGCGCCGCACTACCGCCCACTCACGAGCTGAAACTGTTCTCCGTCAACTCCGTAAGTTCGTTGAAGGATAAACAAGTGTTTACTATGATATAAGAAGGCTCTAGTTCGCAGGGACGGTAAATACGAGGCGGATGAGTCCCCCAACGAGTACATCCGCAGTGTGGCCGATTTGAGCGGTACAAAGGCGATTTGCTACTAAGATGCTTGCATCGTGGCAGTGCGCGCCGCACTATTAAGCCCACTCAAGAGATGAAACTGTTTTCCGTGAACTTCGTAAGTTTGTTGGAGAATAAAGAGTTGTCAATCAAAATATGCCTAACCATAATATGGTTTATATATTATATAAAGCCCATGAGACAACGATGTGCTACGAGGGTGGATGCGGCACCTGCATCGTGGCTGTACGTGCCGCACTACCGTTCTTTGTGAACTCTGTAAGTTTGTTGGAAAATGAAACAAAAGTGAATCAGAATAGAATAGAGATGAGACAATTTTTAAAATCCACTTGCAGCAATTGTGCTTAATCGCATTTTAACTAAAAATTGATTCATCTCATACAATGATGTCAAATTGACATTGAAGTTTTGTAATTTTTCTACAGGTTGAATCGAGATTTAGCAATTTTGCTGCAGGTGGGCCTAGTGCTACTTCATATACGTCATATCTTCGATTAGCTCCGTCCGAATAGTGAGAAAAAATGTTGTGAATCCATGTTGTCTGTTACATTTTTTTGCCATAACATCTGAAGATAATTAAATAAATTTCGTAAGCGCAATGTTGAAGACGAATACAGGCTACCTATTAATGTAAAAATATAGTTTTATTTATTTTTATATATAGAACAAGTTATTCTGTGCACGTGCACCTACCGTTATTAATTCAATAATTATCTATTTCATTCTAATTATATTTATAGTTAAGGTTTGCTTATTGTTTCCAAGAGCTTTTTTATTTCTTAAAGTATGCAGAAGAAAGTATGGCCCGCCTGATGGTAAGCGGACACTAAAGCCTATATAGACGCTTGTGATACAAAAAATATCACTCGCGCAGTTGCCTTTCCTGACCCAATATCTACTCCGTGGAGCCCTGAAACCTTACTCACCGACAGAAACACAACATCACCAAAAGCTTCGTATTATTTTACGGGAGGACGATCGCTTCCGATGTAGCCTTAGAGACTTTCCCGGCCAGTTAATGCGAGTCTGACATAACCTTGCAGCCGGCTGTAGGGTATCCATGAAGATTTCTCAACTGCTCCCCCCGCCTCGGAGGAAACAAAACAAAAACGGTCACCATACCCTTTATAACCTTTCGATGCTTACGATAACCAGAGTATCATTTACGCGTTTTTTACTCTGATCCCACCCCGTACCAAGCCATAAAAACTTACTCACCGACAGTAACAGAATACCGTGTAAATGTCATTAATACATGCAAAGGTATTCATTTGACATTGTGGCCACCAAGGCCGCTAAAGCATAGCAGTGCATCTACCCGTATAGCAGAGGGTGCGGGTTCGAGTCCTGTCTGCTGCCTAATCCGCGTGGATTTTTTTCTAGTAAAATTTTCTTTAGATTTAACCTTTAACTTTCTTTTCACTGGTAATTTATGGTGTAAGGTCAAGTTTTCTTCCAAGACAGGGTGATCTAATTTAAGCGAGAAATCCGCTATTCCCTACCCCTCTTAAAAACTATATCAAATAAATTAAAGTTGATGTATTTCAGTGTCTAGTGTCTGTTTTGTCATGCCATGGCTGGGAAATTCTGACTGTGGAGGGTATTGGCAATAAAACTATCGGCTACCATGAAATACAAAGTCGACTTGCGAAGTTTAATGGGACCCAATGCGGCTACTGCACTCCAGGTTGGATTATGAATATGTACAGGTACAGTCATTTATGTTAACTTAAGAGAAGACTCTTCACAATAGATTGGTGATCTAAATGTTTGAGGACCTACAAGTGTAAATTAGTAAGTACATGAAGTTGACTAGCCAAAATACGACTGCAAAATAAAATTAAAATTTTCTCATTAATATGTACATAATAAGCCCTCTTACAATTTGCTGTGTCCGAAAAAGGCGACTAAGTTTGAAAGTCCTCTTATTATAATTTTCCAGCTAATGTACACTTAGTTTGCAATAAATGATTGACTATTGACTATAGATCGGCAATGTGAATTCTTTAATACTATGTATAAGAACTTTAAAATGGAATTTGGTAAAATAAATACGAAACGTTTGCGCCTATTACTAATATTTGGGCGCAGATTAAAAGCTCAGCAAATAAGTGGCAAAAAATTGCTACAGGCGATGAGCTAGCAACCTGATGCAAATTATTTCCGACAAACCTTTTTGGGGTAGGGGACAACAAAAACGACGTGTTACGGAAAAGTCTTAAATTGATTTAATATAAAGGGAAAGCAGAAAAAGAGGGAGTACTTTGGCACGCTAAACGCTTTTTGCTGGCGTTACTTCGAACATTTCAAATAGATCTCTGGACCTTTGCTATGTATGTAGGAACATGGGCGCTTTTTAACTCGAAATTTATACCAATAGTTGTTACAAGTTAAGTTCAAGTTCATTAAGTTCAAAATACAATTTTATGTTAATATATAAATACTATATACTAATAAACGAAACACGCTTAAACGGGTTCAAAATTCGCCTTTCGAAGTGAAACTTCTTTACGCACGCTTGGCTTGGGGGGTAAGCTGGCGAATGCGATACGCGTTACGAAAAGTGTGTTCGGACGAGGCGAACGGGAGTTGAGTGACGGATATAAGCAAGAGAAAGCAGTGCGAGCGCACATTTTCTTTCTCTCTTTCTTTTATAGCTAGTAAATGAAATATGTATATATACAGACAATATGCATGTATATATTGTACACACACATATATACATACAGATGGACTTAAGTTTCACTTCAGTCGTGTGGTCATAAGCACACGCGTTTTTTTTTAGTTCTTTTTTGACGTTTCGCATACTTTTCAGGTTTATTAATAATTCTGACGACGCAACCTTAAAAGGTTGCGAAACATCAAAAAAAATAAGCAAAAGATTCATTTTGAACCCGTTTAAGCGTGTTTAATTTAATATAAAGTATTTATATATTAACATTATAATTAAATCTTGCCCATCTATTGCCAAATGTAGAGTCATTAAGGTATTTATGGAACTAATGTTTATATTTTGTTTATTATTCTCTCAAACTGTACATTCTCAAGGAAGAAATGTCAGTTTAATACAGTAGCACCATTCATAATCTGCTATATAATGGCACTAATACCTGTATGCCAAAAACATGAACATACATGTGTATAAACATATTGATGTATATTTTTTCAGTATATATGAAGAGAAAAAACAAAAATTGACGATGAAAGAAGTGGAAAATTCATTTGCCAGCAACATCTGTAGATGTACAGGCTACAGACCCATTGCAGATGCATTTAAATCCTTTGCTTCGGATATCGACGAAAATCTTAAAATAAAACTACGTGATATAGAAGATATAGGATTTTTTAATTCTTGTGGAGTTCATTGTAAAAGACAATGCCCCAAAAATAATAAATGCCAAGCAATCCAAGAAGAATCTGCTCGTGATTGGTGTATCATACAAAACGATAATGATAAAATGATAGTGATAGATTGTGGCACCCACAAATGGTACAAAGCATACAGTCTAGATGATGTTTTTAATGCGATGAGCAACTCCAATGATTATAAATTCATAGCTGGAAATACTGGGCAAGGTAAGCTTCTGAAATTACATGGAACCTTTTAATTAAATAAAATTTTATATCTTATCTTCGCTATATTATCCTTGCTTATCAATTTCAGACTCACTATCTTATTATGTAATTAATGTTACTTTACAGGAGTGTATCATGTCACAGAATATCCATCAACTGTGATAGACATCTTCTATGTGGCAGAATTGAAGAGTCACAGTTTAGATGTGAACCTTATACTAGGAGCGGGGATGCCACTATCCGAAATGATGGACCTCTTTTTAGTGTTATCAGCATCAAATGAAGATTTCTCTTATTTAAAACAATTCCATGAGCATATGGATCTTGTCGCACATATACCAGTGAGAAATGTAAGTTTGAAAATTGAGAAGTTACCTGTATAATCCAGCAAACTTCTTAAGCAACAGCCAAAGACGAGGAAGCCTACTCAGTAGCAGTTTACATACAAAAACGTCTACTGCGCAAGTTTGTCTGTGGTTTCGCTCAAGAAGTTTGCCGCTATCTATAGCGGTGTAGGTTATAAATTATAATATATATATATTGTTTTACATACACTCTAAAAATTATTGACATCAGAAACTACTGATTTAGCATTTTTTGTATGCAGATCGGAACAATTGGTGGTAACCTTTATATGAAACATACAAATAACGACTTCCAGTCGGATATCTTCTTGCTTTTTGAAACCGTTGGTGCTATGATTACAATTGGTAAATCATTTTGTTCTTTGCCTACTTGTTTTTCACAAAAAAAATTGAAACATACGTATTTACACGCTTGACTTTTATTTTATAGCTGAGGCAACAAATAAAATGAAAACAATTAGTATTATGGAATTTCTAAAAATGGATATGAATAGAAAGATTATTGTCAACATTAAACTACCTCCATTATCAAACTACTGCTTTTTTAAATCGTATAAGGTAAAATGTATGCATTAGTATCTTTTAATTACATTATTTTGTTCGAAGAGGAAAGTGTATATAATAAGATATATATTTTATTATAGATAATGCCAAGGTCCCAAAATGCACACGCAGTAGTAAACGCAGGTTTTTTATTTAAGTTTAACAAAACATCAAATTTATTAGAAAAAGCATCCTTAGTGTTTGGAAGTATTTCAGCAAACTTTAATCATGCCAGTCAAACGGAATCACTGTTAGAAGGTAAAGATCCCTACAATGAAGAAACATTACAATCAGCTCTCAAAACGTTATTTATGGAAATTTCTCCTGAAGAAATGCCACCTGAACCATCTGCTGCATATAGAAAAATGCTTGCCGTTACTTTATTTTATAAAGTAAGTCATACAATACCTACAACAAAGTAATTTTAAGCGACTTCTATGAAGATTTAATTTTTATTATTTTAGGCTATATTATACTTCTGTCCTGATAAACGATTGGATAAAAGATTTCGATCGGGTGCAGAAGCTTTAAAAAGGCAAACTTCAAAAGGAACGCAATCTTTCGATACTGATAAAAGTGTTTGGCCTTTAAACCAGGCAGTACCCAAATTAGAGGCCCAAGTTCAGTGTAGTGGTGAGGCAATTTTCGCAAATGATTTACCCACTGAAAGTGGAGAACTGTTTGGTTCGTTCGTTACTGCTGATGCTAGACCAGGCAGTATAATTAGTGGATTTGACACTGAGGAAGCTTTAGTGAGTAAAACCAATAGTTTTCATATAATATTTAAAAAAATCATAATTTAGCATACAACGTGTTTTTTTAGAAAGTTCCTGGAGTAGTTGCTTTTTACTCTTCTAAAGATATACCAGGAGACAATTCGTTCACGCCCATAAATGTGCCTCTTATACTAGCGAGTGAGGAAATTTTGTGTTCTAGTATAGTTAAATATTATGGCGAACCGTGTGGTATAATTGTGGCAGATCGAGAAAAGACTGCAAATAAAGCTGCTAAATTAGTCAAAGTAAAGTATTCCCAAATAAATAAGAACAAACCTATATTAACAGTACAAGATGTGATGAACTCTCCGGAAAAAGATAAAAGACTTGTAAATAATATGACAATTGAACCAACTGAAATCGGGAATGACGTCAAATGTATAATTTATGGAGAATATCATTTAGAAACACAACATCATTTTTATATGGAACCCCAAACCACTATAGCAAAAGCCACTGAAGATGGATTAGAAATTTATTCTGCAACTCAATGGTTAGATTTAACAAATGTTGCAATAGCGCAAAGTTTGAATATGTCTGTTAACAGGTAATCTATGTTTTTTTTTTTTTATAAAATATAATAAAAACACTTAGCGACGCGATGTGTCCTGATGTTCCTAGTTTGTAATCCCGCTAGATCCATAGTAATAGTAAAAAGTACCTTTTGTATTTGAGAAAAATATACTTTTATTATTTCAAAGTAAGGCTAGTTCTTGCCGTCTTTTCATACTCGTACATAAAACTATTATTTCTTCTTTTGTTAGTCACTAATTCAATAAAATGTTTTATATAATGAAACTATCTGTGCTCCGCAGTTGCATCCAGGGTAATTTGAGTAAAAACATCTACCAAAACATATTTCTAAATAGGCATTATGTTTAATAATATGAGTATATAGATACCTAGTAAAATCATGAGAGTATTATTTAAACAAAAGATGTAAATTAATAAATACTAAAAATATGTATGAATCAAAGGGATCTATCTATCTAACAAAAATGATGATATTAAAGATATAAATTCAATTAGATAAATTTAAAATCAATTTTGTATCATATTATTTTAACTTATTTTGTTTCTTTTCAGAATAAATGTTATTGTTCGTCGGGTAGGTGGAGCATACGGAGGTAAGATCACTCGATCTGTTCAAATTGCATGCGCTGCTGCATTGGTCGCCCATTTGCAAGGCAAAACGTGTAGATTCATACTACCTTTGCAAACAAATATGAAAATCATTGGTAAACGTCTCCCGACCAGTTGCAATTTTGAGGTAAACATCTAACTGAGAAATACAAATGTTTCGTAAATTAAACACAAACTTAAATTAATTACAGTTAGTTTCATACTCATAACAAAATGTTTTCAGTGAATATTGAAGAACTATGTAGTACCTACTCCTAGTTAGTTAATGTTTTAGATATGATATTTCCCCGTAGTAAATACATTCTATGTAATGTATATAATCCTATGAAATATAATAAACTAAATTTTGCTCAAAATTAACATTGGTACTTTTATATTGTAAAAATTTAAGGTTGGAGTTAATCAATATGGTGCAATCCAATATCTTAAAAATAAGTTCTACCAAGATAATGGTTGCACTCCTAATGAAACTATTAGTCCAGTTACAGTCAACCACTTTCGCAACTGCTACGATACTAAGCGTTGGTACATAGAAGCGAATAGTGTACACACAGATACCCCATCTAACACGTGGTGCAGAGCTCCGTGTAAGTATCCTTATAGGTCATGTATTAGTTATTATCTGTGTTTTTTGTCTGTGAAGAGGCTAAATACAGCCATCACAATAGACATCACATAGAATAGACTCACAGACAAGAGGACAATTGTACATGTATGTAATACAATAAATCTTTTCATATTTTTTAGCCTCAACGGAAGGTGTAGCTATGGTCGAATACATAATGGAACGAATAGCATACCATATGAGGTTAGATCCTCTCCAAGTGCGAATAGCAAATATGGTTAAAGAAAATAATCCCATTCCAGGTTTGATTGAGCAAATAAAGCAAGATTCAAATTATTTTGAGAGACTTAAGGAAGTTAAACAATTCAACGATAACAATCGTTGGAGGAAACGAGCTATAAGTTTAATACCAATGACATACGATTTATTTTACTTAAGCCCATATAATTCGTTAATATCTATATATCATGCTGATGGTTCCGTATCTATTACGCATGGTGGTGTAGAAATGGGTCAAGGAATTAATACAAAGGTGGCCCAAGTTTGTGCTCACATGTTCGGGATTCCTTTAGAAAAGATAAGCATTAAGCCAAGTGCCAGTGCTACTTCACCAAACACAATGGCTACTGGGGCTAGTATTGGTAGTGAATGTGTATGCTTTGCCACTATGAAGGCGTGTGAAATAATTTTGGACAGACTTAAGCCCATCAGGGAGAAAATGGATAAACCAATATGGGAAAAAGTTGTTAAAGAAGCATTCAACGCTGGTATAGATTTGCAAGCATCTCATATGTTTTCCCCTAAAGACGGTGTAAAACCATATGATATTTATGGTGCTGTGGTGTTGGAGGCAGAAGTTGATATATTAACTGGGAATCATGAAGTTCTGAGAGTAGATCTACTTGAAGACACTGGAAGAAGTTTAAGCCCAATCATAGATATCGGACAGGTAACGATATAATATATATTCGATTTGTATATTTCAAAACCAGGTAAGAATCTAAATATAAAAATATTTTTTAGATTGAAGGTGCGTTTGTAATGGGTCTAGGGTACTGGACGTCTGAAAAAAATTTGTATGACACGGATTCGGGGAAATTATTAACAGATAGAACTTGGACTTACAAACCACCCGGTATAAAGGATATTCCTGCTGACTTTAGAATTTATTTTAGAAGGAACGCCAGTAATCCATTTGGCGTATTACAATCCAAAGGTTTGTCTTCTTTAAATAAAAATATGATAGAAATATTATTAATGGTTTAAGTAAATAAAATAAATGTCAAAACCTGTTTAGTAATCTGTTTCCTAACTAGTCTAGACCTTATGTTAAAGGAAGAAGCAAAGGTAGATACTCGTAACAGGAAACCTTCAACCCTAACCCCCTTATTAATTAAGAAGGAATAAAGCTTAGACTAGTTACTCCGTATCACTCAAATGACATTAGTCATTCAATGAACAGAGTCAAAACATGGAGGAACTGATCCAAGCTCATTCTGCGTTTATTAATAAGGGGATAAAGCTCCATATCCATTCAACCTTTGTGTCATTACATTATCAATTTTCTTTCAACTTTTTCCTTTTTCTCGAAAATTGATAGTAAATTAGGACATTATTCCAGCTACCGGTGAGCCAGCGCTTTGTATGGCCGTTGTGTTGACATACGCCCTGAGGGAGGCTGTGAGAGCGGCTCGGTTGGAGGCGGGCTACGAAGACCAATGGCTTGATATAAGTATGTGTACATACATTAACGCTTAAAGTAAAATATTTCCAAAGTTTCAGTATCATCATTATCTTTATATCAAGGCAATTGTATAATAATAAATTAAGAGCTGTGTGCCCAAAGGATGATTTGTATGAAAAACTAATTTATAATATAGAAAGTAAAGACTACGCGCTCAGGTGTTATAGAGAATTTAAATTTTTAACGCACCTCGCAGACTCTTTAAATTTATAGAAATTTAAATTTATAGACACGTTTAAAAAGTAATATTACGTATTACAGGTAACCCATGCAACGTGGAGAACATTTTCATGTCAGTCGGTCACAAACTCGAGCACTTCAAATTGAAATAGTAATTATAAGTTTTAGTGTGTTCATAAGTATAAAATAGTCTAAATTGATTAGATGCAGATATTTTATTATTTATAAGATAGATTCATATGATATAAACACTATTCGTCGCAATATTTTTACATATTTATTACGTACTTTGGTATATAAATTTAATTTTACTTGATACGCAATGCACCACGCATGATATATAATTTAACCTATTGGTTTCCGGTGATATTTTTATTCCTATGCTTTATTAGAATATAAGGAAAATAACAAAACTAAATGATAACAAAATATTTTTTTCTGTGAAGCAAATGTGTCTTATTTAAAATCTGTGACAGAATAGACATAGGTATTATAATAATAATTGCATAAAACGTAGCCTTTACGAAACGTCAATAAATAAATAAAGTTTCGTGCATTAACCCGTAAAAAACTAGTTTTATTTAATGAGTGATGTGCGTGAAAACCTAAGAAACAAATATAATAATCTAAAGAAAAGTTTACTAGAAAAAAATCCACGCGGACCAGGCAGCGGACGGGACTCGAACCCGCATCCTTCGCTATCCGGGCGAATGCACTGACCATTATGCTACCACGGCCCTATTAGCCGCGTCGAAATTTTCCTAGCCTTAAGCTACAAGGCAGCGCCATCTCTTCGCATTGTAGGTAACCAACCCACAATGTCAAATGAATACTTTTTCAAGTATTAAACATTTGACAGAAGAAATAGCAATTATAGTTATGATTTTATTTATTTTTTAAGCATTTAATTGCTAGATGTTTAAATCTAAAGAAAAGTTTACTAGAAAAAAAAATCCACGCGGACCAGGCAGCGGACGGGACTCGAACCCGCATCCTTCGATATCCGGGCGAATGCACTGACCATTATGCTACCACGGCCCTATTAGCCGCGTCGAAATTTTCCTAGCCTTAAGCTGCAAGGCAGCGCCATCTCTTCGCATTGTAGATAACCCACAATGTCAAATGAATACTTTTTCAAGTATTAAACATTTGAAAGAAGAAATAGCAATTATAGTTATGATTTTATTTATTTTTTTAAGCATTTAACTGCTAGATGTTTAAATCTAAAGAAAAGTTTACTAGAAAAAAATCCACGCGGACCAGGCAGCGGACGGGACTCGAACCCGCATCCTTCGCTATCCGGGCGAATGCACTGACCATTATGCTACCACGGTCCTATTAGCCTTAAGCTGCAAGGCAGCGCCATCTCTTCGCATTGTAGGTAACCCACAATGTCAAATGAATACTTTTTCAAGTATTAAACATTTAAAAGAAGAAATAGCAATTATAGTTATGATTTTATTTATTTTTTTAAGCATTTAACTGCTAGATGTTTAAATCTAAAGAAAAGTTTACTAGAAAAAAATCATTCGGGCATTCGCCCGGATAGCGAAGGATGCGGGTTCGAATCCCGTCCGCTGCCTGGTCCGCGTGGTTTTTTTTCTAGTAAACTTTTCTTTAGATTTAAACATCTAGCAGTTAAATGCTTAAAAAAATAAATAAAATTTTATCTATAATTGCTATTTCTTCTTTCAAATGTTTAATACTTGAAAAAGTATTCATTTGACATTGTGGGTTACCTACAATGCGAAGAGATGGCGCTGCCTTGCAGCTTAAGGCTAGAAAATTTCGACGCGGCTAATAGGGCCGTCGTAGCATAATGGTCAGTGCATTCGCCCGGATAGCGAAGGATGCGGGTTCGAGTCCCGTCCTCTCCCTGGTCCGCGTGGATTTTTTTTTCTAGTAAACTTTTCTTTAGATTTAAACATCTAGCAGTTAAATGCTTCAAAAAATAAATAAAATCATAACTATAATTGCTATTTCTTCTTTTAAATGTTTAATACTTGAAAAAGTATTCATTTGACATTGTGGGTTACCTACAATGCGAAGAGATGGCGCTGCCTTGCAGCTTAAGGCTAGGAAAATTTCGACGCGGCTAATAGGGCCGTGGTAGCATAATGGTCAGTGTATTCGCCCGGATAGCGAAGGATGCGGGTTCGAGTCCCGTCCTCTCCCTACTCCGCGTGGATTTTTTTTTCTAGTAAACTTTTCTTTAGATTTAAACATCTAGCAGTTAAATGCTTAAAAAAATAAATAAAATCATAACTATAATTGCTATTTCTTCTTTCAAATGTTTAATACTTGAAAAAGTATTCATTTGACATTGTGGGTTACCTACAATGCGAAGAGATGGCGCTGCCTTGCAGCTTAAGGCTAGAAAATTTCGACGCGGCTAATAGGGCCGTCGTAGCATAATGGTCAGTGCATTCGCCCGGATAGCGAAGGATGCGGGTTCGAGTCCCGTCCTCTCCCTGGTCCGCGTGGATTTTTTTTTCTAGTAAACTTTTCTTTAGATTTAAACATCTAGCAGTTAAATGCTTAAAAAAATAAATAAAATCATAACTATAATTGCTATTTCTTCTTTTAAATGTTTAATACTTGAAAAAGTATTCATTTGACATTGTGGGTTACCTACAATGCGAAGAGATGGCGCTGCCTTGCAGCTTAAGGCTAGGAAAATTTCGACGCGGCTAATAGGGCCGTGGTAGCATAATGGTCAGTGTATTCGCCCGGATAGCGAAGGATGCGGGTTCGAGTCCCGTCCTCTCCCTACTCCGCGTGGATTTTTTTTTCTAGTAAACTTTTCTTTAGATTTAAACATCTAGCAGTTAAATGCTTAAAAAAATAAATAAAATCATAACTATAATTGCTATTTCTTCTTTCAAATGTTTAATACTTGAAAAAGTATTCATTTGACATTGTGGGTTACCTACAATGCGAAGAGATGGCGCTGCCTTGCAGCTTAAGGCTAGGAAAATTTCGACGCGGCTAATAGGGCCGTGGTAGCATAATGGTCAGTGCATTCGCCCGGATATCGAAGGATGCGGGTTCGAGTCCCGTCCGCTGCCTGGTCCGCGTGGATTTTTTCTAGTAAACTTTTCTTTAGATTTAAACATCTAGCAGTGAAATGCTTAAAAAAATAAATAAAATCATAACTATAATTGCTATTTCTTCTTTCAAATGTTTAATACTTGAAAAAGTATTCATTTGACATTGTGGGTTACCTACAACGCGAAGAGATAGCGCTGCCTTGCAGCTTAAGACTAGGAAAATTTCGACGCGGCTAATAGGGCCGCGGTAGCATAATGGTCAGTGCATTCACATTGGTGGGAGTTGAAGCCCACTGTCTTCTACTAGAACTACATAGATAAAAAAAACATTAATTACAAAAATTACCTATCAACATCATCAGCATTAGCCTATTAAGGTCCCCAATATGGATGGAACAGGGAGATTGGTCCATCACCCACCACGCGGGCCCAGTGTGGAAACAAATATATTTGTTTCTTAGGTTTTCACGCACATCACTCATTAAATAAAACTAGTTTTTAAGAGCTAATGCACGAAACTTTATTTATTTATTGATTATTAATGTAAACGTCAATAAATAAATAAAGTTTCGTGCATTAACCCGTAAAAACTAGTTTTATTTAATGGATACAAATATTTTAGGACGACGAATTTTACTTTTATGAAATGAATTATATGATTAAAGAACGACATATATTAGTCCTGGAGGTAGATTTGCATTTTTAATGGTTGTAAGTTTGTTTTGATAACGATCTACATCGTCGTCGGCTTATTTATGCTAGAAAAGAATATCCAATAAAAACGACCTCGAGCTGAGAAAAGAAAAGATAGAACAAGGAGTAGGGGCCTGACCTACCACGGAGACCCAGTGCACATCGGTGATCAATTAAGGCGTGTCGTCCTATTTGGCAAATATATGACCCGTTGCGTTGTCGTCGTGTTATGATTTGTAAACATACAACATGTTACTTCAGAAGTATCCTAATTACAGCTCGTAAGCCATCGCACAAGCATAGGCATTGTTTAATAACGATCGAACGATGGGTTTAATCGTACGATCATGTAATCAAATACACTGATCTCCTTTGAGTGTCCTAATTGGTCACGCGTCTTTGCACGATTGAAGACGTGCGACGCAACATGCTACCCGTGGAGCACAGAACAGGTGGGGTGTGGTGCAACATTGGTAAAAGGATAAACAAGGATCCAGTATCGCATACACACTCCAGGGCTTTTAGATTGGACGACATGTCGCCGATTGGTTACCGGCTACGAAATTTTTTTTTTTATTAATTTTTTTCCGACACACACCAATTACCCTAGCCCCAAAGTAAGCACTATAAGGCTTGTGTTATGGGATGCTAAGGTAACGGATAGAATACATATACTGTACATATATAAGTATATTTATATAAATACATATTAAACATCCATGACTGGAGTACAAATGCTCGTATTCATCACACAAACATCTGCCCCCACCGGGATTCGAACCCGGACCTCTCGAGTCGGCGACAGCCATGAAACCCGGCGTACAAACCACTTAGCCACGGAGGTCGTCAAATGCTGATTTATCGCCTGTTGGGTGACAGCATCGCACTATTGGTATCTATAAGGACGCCCGTGTTTAATCATCTGGCGATTATTTCCATCGCACGTAAAAAAAAGTAAATTAATAGCTGACTCAAAACCAGAAACCACCATTGTCGTTTTAGCTGCTTTTTGGGGATCGTCAACATTATTATTATTTAAAAAAGAGCTGTGTAAATTTGCATACATCTTGAAATCTCAATATTACGCATATTTACGTAAAAAAAACACACACACACATACAGAATGGCTAATGTCAAAATCATATGAACAAACTGAAACCTTATAACTTCGATATCCTGAAAACCGAATTAAAGTACTTCCCTTTATATAAGTTTTTTTAAAGAAACCCCATTAAGTACCTACCTAATAAATTTTGCACCATCACTCGACCACAACTTTTGTTTCTAATATTATTTGGTCTTAGACTACGTGCATATAATGTATTATGTTTGTGCCTTTGTTATCAACTTTCTATGGGATACGACGAGGGAACAGCACTGTTACCCTTAACACAGATTATTTTATAATTATAGAGCTCAGTGCTTTAGAAAAACCTAATTATCTACTTACTTTATAAGTTAAAAGCTATGTACTTAGTAACTTAAAATATTGTATACTTTT